AGTTTCCATTCACGTTGGAGTACGATAGATTGGTATCTTTGATTTGTAAAAGAATGAGTGTGAGTAAACGTTCGGGTGATATTAAGGTAACCGAAAGATATCCATATTCTCTTAGTCCGCAAAGGGTTGCTTGTTATGTTGAGTTTAACATCAAAAAATGATGAAACTCTGAAAGATTTTTTGAGGACTGCGGATGAACATCAGGAACTTCTTGTGATAAAAATGTTGGAAATGTACGTCAAGTCTGAAGACGTCCGCAATATTGAGGTTCCGCAAAATAGAGATAACCTTCAATCATCTAGTGGTGTTTTTGGAGCAGTTTTGTCCGAACAGGTTCCGTTTGAAAGAGTCTGGCCAAATCTAAACTTATCTCCACGGGCGAATGAGGAGTGAGGACATAACTTCTCCCCAAGTTTACATAATTAACACGCCGAGTGGTAAATTTTAATTTTCCTTATTGTAGTATGATTTTTTTATGTATCATATTCGTACTAACACTCATATCTTCCAAAGGGGGTACCGGCTAGATATGAATTTTACAAGCTATGAACCAACCAACAGTTGGAATATGCCCAAATTTGGTGGTTTGGATCATGTTGGTCCATCCGCGAGTCATCAACAACTCGATAATGTGCATCATGGGCTATCAAGAGATTATGAATTGTAAGTTAAGAGATAAAGTTAATATATAATATTGGGATGACATTGAGAAACTCATTATTTTATTGGTTTTGTAGTGAAAACGAGCAACATGATGGTCTTGTCCTTACTCAGTTACCCGAAGACGATATATTTAATCAGGATCTGGCAGATGCCCAGAGTCAGGAAGATGATAGTGATTATGACAACAATGTTGATGAGTCTTGAGATGATACACCCTTCCCTGATGAGGGCGATGATGATGAGGAAACGCGCTTTACTGATGAGAATGAGAATGAGCAACCTGATTTGACGAGGGAGCATGATGCCACAAATGAGCATGCTCCATATATGCAGACTCCACCAACTGTTAGACCCAGAGTGTACGAGTCCCATGTGCCCTTTCATTCAAGGGAGATTCCCTACCTTGATCAGTTGCCCGGTATGCCAGATGTGGATGCCCTCATAAGGGATCTTGATGACATTCGTACAGCAATGTGGGATGAATCTAGACCAACGGAGTTGTCAATGAATATGACTTTTTCTGATAAAGCGCGCCTTAGTAGGGCGGTGCAAATTTACAGCATAAAACACTGTCATGAGATCGAGGTTCATGAGTCATCTACTCAAGTATATAAGGTTATTTGTCGTAAATGGTTTCAAGGTTATAAGTGGATGTTGCGTGCGAGAAAGTTAAAAACAAATATGTGGATGGTGGGGAAATACATTGGCAACCACACTTGTGATATGGACACATTCAACAGGAATCGATTTAACTTGAATGTTGACTTGATTTCCCTTGTCTTGATTCCATACATTGAATCGTCCAGAAGGTACAAGATTAAAGAGTGTATAACATATGTCCACCAGGTATATGACTATACCATTACCAAAAGAAAGGCATTTCTCGGGCGTAAACATGCGTTTGAGATTGTTTATGGTAATTAGGATAAGTCATTTGCCACTCTACCTAGGTACATGGCTGCTTTGCAATACTTTAACCCCGGGACTGTTGTTGAATAGAAGCTTGAGCTTTGATAATGTTATCACCTGCAGAAGCGAAATAAAACTAGCGACATCTCTCATGGTGCCCATGGAAGCCCTGCACGGCTGCCTATAAAGGTAGGCTAGAACTGCTACACCACAGTTGTACGTAGATAACTCATCTAGACTCTCCAGATGATGTAAAAATCGCAAGCTAATAAGGTTTCCCGAAGTGTTCAGGAAAAGAATACCACCAAACATCATCAATAGCAACAACCTCGTATGTCGCTCAATAGCCTCTACCGGTGAGTCATACGTGATCTCCGCGTGCAGCACCTCCAGATGCTGCCTAACTGGCGACAACTGCAATCGACTAGCACCACTCATAGCAGTTGGCTTCGCAGGCTGGAAACCGGTGATTCTCTGCAACATATGTAGACACTCGTCTCTCGTATAATCCCTAAGAGTTTATGGGTAGCTGATAGCCATACCATCAACGGGTAACCCGAATAGAACCTCCACGTCATGTAGCATGATGGTAGCCTCGCCGATAGGTAGATAAAATGTGTGAGTCTCCGATCTCCACCACTCTATCATAGACGTGATCAGGGGCCAGTCGAACTACAACCGACCAATCTATATAATCCGGTAAAACCCCGTCCACTGAAGACATGTAACTATACGGGGATGAAGTGGGTAGTCCCTAATGAACTCCCAAAGATCGTCTATACGTCTGGGGTGGAAGGTCTGGGACAACAACTGTCCATCCCATATGTGTGAAGACCTATGGCCACCTTGGAGCAACATTAGCTCTAGAACAGCAGGTCCAGGATGCATTGGCGGAGGATCCATGACGATGTGTGTAAATTGAATAATATTAATTAAATTATTTTTCTCTTTAATTGTTTAACATCTTTAAATATATTGTGATATTTTTTATATTAATATTTAATCGATAAATTTTTTATATTATTACTTAGGTTGATAAATAAAATATTTATTTATATGTTAGTTTCTTAGATTATTCGACTAAAATTTGGCAGGGTTTTGTTTGAACTATCAACTTTTTTTCAAATGTTTTTGGGTTATAAGAAAATTTATATTTAATTTTCTAAACTAATCTAGATATTTTTAATAATTATTCATATAAAAAATACTATTAAAAATTTTTTGTGTTCATAACGATTTATGTCTTAATTTAATACTGTTAAACAAATAAAAACGACACAATCTCTTTTACGTACTGTTAATTTTTTAACAATCTTATTCCTGATTAAAATAATACTAAATACTTAATTTGTTTTACTATTTGATATTATTTTTAAAACTTTACTATTAAGTATTTATTTCATTCATAATGATTTGTATGTTAATTTTTATATTTTACACAAAAGTCCGGCAGCGTCTCTTATTGCCAACTAATTATTTTATGATTCATATCTAATTTTTTATTGTTATCTAATAATACATTTACTATACACTTAATAATTGATTAAAATTTGATCCATAATTGAATACTCTAAACGAGTTAGTTAATGAGGACACGTTATTTTTATTCTACACTAAATAATACTAAAGAACACTAAAGGCACACTATTCTAAATGGCCATAAATAACATCAACTAACATAAATTAAAATTTATTATCAGTTCTACTATATTAACGGGCACTATATAACACTAAAAGGCACTATATAATGCTAAAGGGTACTAAATAATACTAAAGTCACATATTATTCACAGTAAACATATAATAATATGTACAACTATAAAAATAGTATACATATAACACTGATTATTCAACAAAGGAACAATATACAATTTTCATAATTGTTTGCACAGAAATAAACTAATCCGGATAAAAAACAAAAAAATAAATTTCACAAAACAATCACAAAAGCATAAAATATAGTAGTAACAACTAATTACTCAATTATATACATGACTTACACTAAAAAATTGATTCGGAATACTTCTTTTTGATTTTTTTGAATGGAGAAAGAATGAATATTTGACCACCGAATCGAAAAATAAAAGAGTTCCACTACACGACAACGCCTTGAATCGAGTGTTAGATCGCTAAAACAATCACGGGACAAGATTTCGGGGGAGGGGTGGGCTCCAATGGAGTTTTTAGCTTTTAAAAATAGGGGGACCCTTTTTTTGAGTTCTGTCGTAAAGAAGGAGGCTAGCCTATTTTAAAAAGGTATTGCGCATATATTAGATGTACTATGCCTATCTGTCTTTTCGCATTCAGGTATAGCGCATCTAATATATGCGCTATACCAAAACTTTGACCGCCTTTTGAAAATCAGGTATAGCGCATGAAATTGATGCGCTATACCTTAACGGACAAATGTGTCGTTAAGGTATAGTGCATGAATTTTCATGTGCTATATATAAAAAGGTTACCAAATATATCTTTTTGGGAATTGTATTTCATGTCGCTGTATTTATTGATGGAAAAGTTTATATCGTTGTCGTAGGTACTGCCTAGTATGCATCAACAACAACTGCAATTGGTGTTTTAAGTCTTCAAGCCTGAAAAAAGCAAAATTTTTCAAGGTCAGAAATTTTAGCAAACTGCACTGATGCTCACTGAAAGACAGATCTTATGGACAACATCAAGCTACTGCAAAACTCATCGACAGTCTTCTGATAAATAAGTATAAAGACCCAAAAATAATATACACTCCTAATGACATAATTGGAGACATGAACAAGCAGTATGGTCTTCAAATGACATATATGCAAGCATAGAGATCGAAGGAATATATAGTTCAACTACTGAGAGGGAACCTAAGCGAATCATATGAAAAGCTGTCAAGCTACTTTTATATGTTGGTTCTTACAAATCCTATGTCGGTGGTAAGTTTGAAAAAATAGAGGAAGGCTTGTTCATGTATGCTTCTGTTGTACTATATCTGTCTATAAAAGGATGGCAGTATTGAAAATCGATTGTTATTGTAGATGAAACTTTTATTAAATCGACATACAGAGGAACATTATTGATAGCATCCACACAAGATCCAGCAGGTAAAAATAAGAATAATAATGTAAAAATATATATATTATTCATGTATATACTCACATATGTTTATATGATTCAATTTATTAGATAGTATCCTACCACTCACATATGCCATAGTAGATTCAGAGAATAATGCTTCTTAGGAGTGGTTTTTCGCGAGGTTCAAGGATGCATTTGGGGAAAGGGAGGGAATATGCATAGTCTCGAACAGGTACGAAGGCATTGCAAATGCGGCGGCAACATTGTGTCCACAAGTACCTCACTGTATCTGCATATGGCATCTATGGAATAATGTAAAAAATAATTACAAGAAGAACCATTTGTAGCTCAAAGACATATTCTTTGCTATGGCCAAAGCATACACAGTTGAGAAGTTTGATTACAACATGGCAGAGGTAGAGAGAATTAATAAGAGGGTCAAAGATTACTTAATCAACGTTGGGTATGAAAGATGGTCCAGAGCACATTTCACTGTCAACAGAACATTGACAATGACTTCAAATATTGTGGAGTCGATCAATGCGACGCTCAATGCTTCTAGGGAACTCCCAGTACTGCCTTTGCTGGAGTACATAAGGCAATTGATCGAACGATGGAACGTTACAAACCAAAAGAATGCAATAGAGTTATTTACTAATCTTGGGAAAAAATATGATACAATGCTAATAGACAATCTCGAATTGTCACATTGGATGAAGGTATGACTAGAATCTGTAGATACTTGTGCATATAATATGTAATCATGCCGAATTCACATATATGTTATATCTTAAACCCTTTATGTGATTCTGTTAAACCAGTGTCTACCTGCGCGGCACAGGGAGAGCAAATTGATTAAAGCTAATATTTTCTAATATTCATTGTTCGCACAAAAGCAATATTATAGTGTTCAAGTAATGGAGAGTCTTATCTCTGTTACCGAAGCTTCAGGTTTTTTATTTCTTTTCAAAGCTGATTGGTCTACCTCCATTCTCTGTTTCTTCTGGGGCATGCGAGAAATTAGTCATTATGTAAGCAAATTGTTCAACTTTTAGGCGACTACCAGCATGTATATAAGGCTTTCAATTTAATGTAGCATCTATGCCTACCCCACTACTGAAATATTGGTTGGTTTGACATGATATTAAGCTCTTTTGAATCTTGTAGGCTCTCCAGTATATGTATTTTGAGGGCATATTCTTTATCACCACTAATGATAGTTGATAAATTTTGTAGGTGACCCCTTCGACGAGTTACTTATATTCAGTACTTGACAAGGGTAAGCAGAGAATGGTGTTCCTAAAAGATTGAACTTACAGCTATAGAAGGTTTCAGTTGGATGAGCTACCATGTGCACATGCTTGGGCAGTATTAAAATACAAATACATTGATCACATTGAGTATTACTCGATGTACTACACCAGGAAGTACCTATTGAAGACCTATGAAATTCCAATTTATCTGGTTCCTGATGAAAGCATATGGAAAATTTCTGCAGAAGTTCTAGATGAAAAAGTCTTGCCACCAGATGTGACTAAATCAATAGGAAGGCCAAGGAAGGGGAGGTGCAAGCCAGTATCTAAAAGGGAATGAAAAAGGTCGATTTCATGTGGAGAAGAAGGTCACAACAGGAAAACTTGTAGAAATAATCCAAAGAGAAGATGAAATATGTCAAACTTAGAATTACTTGTTATTTTACTTTACTGAATATCATAAAGATTTAGAAGAATTCAATATATCAAGAACTATATCAATGCAGAATGTCATTTGAATTTTAGATATAAATAAATATTTGATCTATCATTTAAAATCGTGTTGCAAGTGTATTTTTTGAAGTATACATCTGTTTGATTAAAAAAGAAGTAGTATTAGTTATGTATCATATTTGTATATCTTATGTATCACCTATGTATCTTTGTGTATCGGTAAATTATATATTTGTTTGATTAAAAAAGAAGTCGTATCAGCTATGTATCATATTTGTATCATCTATGTATCTCTTATGTAATACCTATGTATCGCTATGTATCAGCTCTTACTCATGTCTGTATTTGTGTAATAACAAAGCTAACTAATGGAAAATAGTTGTAGCAGCTAGAAAACTATGCAAATAGTTTTAGAAATTTGCAAATAAGAGTGTGGCTTCATCAATACTGTCACGACCCCAAATTCCCTCCGTAGGAAGTCATGACGGCACCTAGTATCTAAAACTAGGTAAGCCTATCAACATGCGGAAAAAAATTAAAATAACAACTTAAAAATCTCAAAACTTCAACAATTGCATAAATAAAATCTGTAACTCAAAATGTACAACTCCCAAAACCTGGTGAAGCATAAGTCACAAGTTCAAATAACAGTTCTGAACAATCCTATACATCACTGTCTAAGATAGTGTAATGGAATAGGGAACAACAGGATAGAAGTGGACTCTGAGGCCTGCGGACGCGGGCAGGTGTACCTTGAAGTCTCCAAAGCAACCTCAGCTCACTAATGCTGTAAGATATTCCAAGAATAGCAACGATAAGATATTCCAAGAATAGCAATTTCAAGTAAGGATTCAACAGTTAAATAATGAATACAAAATAAAAGAAAGCAAGTAATTCAACTAAAAATGTTGGGCAATTTGCAAATAAGAGATAAAATAAGTAGACATGTGAAATTAGACTAAACATGATGACTATAACATATTAAAGTAACTCAATTAAAGAACGAAAGCAAACTACATAGCTAAAAACCGGAAATTTCACATTTATCCCGTGTATGCACTCGTTACCTTGCGCACACGGCTTTCACATCTCACAATTATCACAACAATAACAAATCCTAAAGGGAATTTCTCCCACACAAGGTTAGACAAGTCACTTACCTCAAACCACGCTAATTCAATCAACTAGAAGGCCTTACCCTCGATTTTCCAACTCCGAACGGCTCGAATCTAGCCAAAGCAATTTCATACTATAAATATAACTATAGGAAACTAAGTTAAACAATGAAATTACGATCTTTGCAAAGAATTAAAAAATCGCCCTAAAAAGTCATTCCGGGCCCGTGCCTCGGGACCTGACCAAAATTATAAAATTCGAACACCCATTCGATATCGAGTCCAACCATATAAGAATTATCCAAATCCAACCTCATTTTGCCTTTCAAAACCTAAAAAACTTAGTCTAAGAAGTTCTACCACTTTTTCCCAATTTTTCCAACTCCAATCCTTAATTACATGATAATAACAATGATAGATTAGTGTAATCTAACCAAAATCGAGTTAAGAATTCTTACCCCAACAATTTCTCTGAAAATCCTTCAAAATTTCGTCTCCCACCGAGCTCCCAAAATCCCAAAATGAAATATGAATCAAAACCCTCGAAAGTTCCCCTTTTTCTGCCAGTTAAACCACACCTGCGATCTTGCTGCCGCATCTGCGGCTCCGCACCTACAGAATTTCCATCACAGGTGCAGATTCCACTTAGTCAGGCAAGTTCTGCTTCTGCGGACAAGCTTCGCACCTGTGAGTGCGCTCCTGCGGAGTCTTCTCCGCTTCTGCGATGATCGACAAAACACCCTTCCTCCGTATCTACGACCATTCTACGCACTTGTGATCCCAACAGGGCTAGGATATTTCCGCTTCTGCGACCAGTGGCTCGCTTTTGTGAGCCCGCACCTGCGGCCATTCCCTCCGTAGGTGCGAAAACACCATAAGCTGGGCACCTTCAGCAATCCAACAAGTCCACAGATGATCCGGTTTCAATCCGATTCACACCCGGGCCCCCCGGGACCCCGTCCGAATATACCAACTAGTTCCAAAACGCATAACGGACATACTCGAGGCCCAAAATCACATAAAACAACTTAAATTCTATGAAGCGCAACCCAAATTCAAGCCTAAGCAACTATGAACTTCCAAATTCTGAAACCAACGCCGATTCATACCAAAACAACTTCGATTGACACCAAATTTTGCACACAAGTCATAAATGATATTACGGACCTATTCCAACTTCCGGAATTGGAATCTGACCTCGATATCAATAAAGTCCACTCCCGGTCAAACTTTCTAAAATCTTCCAACTTTCGCCAATTTATGCCAAAACGACCTACGGACCTCCAAATCAATATCCGGACGCGCTCCTAAGACCAAAATCACCCTACTGAGCTATTGGAACTGTCAAAACTCTATTCTAGAGTCATATTCACAAAAGTCAAACTACGGTCAACTCCTACTACTTAACCTTCCAACTTAGGGACTATGTGTTCCATTTCACTCCGAAACTTAGCCAAAACCAAAACCAACCACCCCGGCGAGTTACATAACCACAATATAGCATAGAGGAAGCATAATTTAGGGAATCAGGGCTAAAATACTCAAAATAACCGGTGGGCTCGTTACATCTTCCCCCTCTTAAAATAAACGTTCGTCCTCGAACGAGTATAGAGACATACCTGAAGTGGAGAAAAGACGAGGACAACGGCTACGCATATCATGCTCGGTCTCCCAATTCGCCTCCTCGACTGGATGATCCCTCCACTGAACCTTCACTGAAGCAATATTCTTCGACCACAACTTTCGAACCTACCTGTCCAAAATGGCCATCGGCTCCTCAATATAAGATAAATCCTTGTCCAACTGGACTGAGCTAAAATCCAACGCATGAGACGGATCGTCGTGATACTTTCAAAGCATAGAAACATGGAATAATAGATGAACTGCAGCTAGATTGGGTAGTAGTACAAGTCTGTAATCCACCTCTCCAACCCTATCAAGAATCTCAAAAGGTCCGATATACCTAGGGATCAACTTGCCCTTCTTCCCGAATCTCATAACATCCTTCATGGGCGAGACCCGGAGCAAGACCCGCTCCCCAACCATGAATGCAACATTGCAAACCTTCTGATCCGCATAACTCTTCTGTCTGGATTGGCCTGTACGAAGTTGATTTTGAATCAATTTAACCTTTTCCAAAGCATCCTGAACCAACTATGTACCCAATAGCCTAGCCTCACCCGGCTCAAACCAACCCACCAGAGACCGACACAGTCTACCATACAAAGCCTCATACGGAGCCATATGAATGCTCGACTGGTAACTGTTGTTGTAGACAAACTCCGCAAACGGCAAGAACTGATCCCAAAAATCCCCAAGCTCCATCACACACGCACGAAGCATATCCTCCAATATCTGACTAGTGCGCTCGGGCTTTCCGTTCATCTGAGGGTGAAATGTTGTACTCAACTCCACCCGCATGCCTAACTCATGTTGAACAGCTCTCCAGAACCGCGATGTAAACTGTGTACCCCGGTCAGAGATGATGGATACCGACACGCCATGAAGCCTGACAATCTCGCGAATATAAACCTGAACCAGCTACTCTGAAGAATAAGTAGTCACCACACTGGAATGAAATGAGCTGACTTGGTCAATCTATCCACAATCACCCATACTGCATCGAACTTCCTCCGAGTCTTTGGGAGCCCAACAACGAAATCCATAGTGATCCGCTCCCATTTCCACTCTGGAATCTCTAATCTCTGAAGCAACCCACCAGGCCGCTGATGTTCATACTTCACCTGCTGACAGTTTAGGCACCAAGCTACATATTCCACTATATCCTTCTTCATCCTCCTCCACCAATAGTGTTGCCTCAGGTCTTGATACATCTTGGCGGTAACCAGATGAACAAAGTATCGCGAACTATGAGCCTCCTGGAGAATCAACTCACGCAAGCCATCTACATTGGGCACACATAGCCTGCCCTGCATACATAACACACCATCATCCCCAATAGTGACCTCCTTGGCATCGTCGTGCTGAACCGTATCCTTGAGGACAAGAAGATGGGGGTCATCATACTAACGGTCTCTGATACGATCATAAAGAGAATACCAAGAAACCACATAATCCAAAACATGACTCGGCTCCGAAACATCCAATCTAACAAACTGGTTGGCCAAGGCCTGAATATCCAAGGCTAATGGCCTCTCTGCCACCAGTAGATATGCTAAATTGCCCAAGCTCTCCGCCTTGCAACTCAAGGCATCGGCCACCACATTGGCCTTCCCGGGATGATATAGAGTGGTGATATCATAGTCCTTAAGCAACTCTAACCACCTCCGCTGCCGCAAGTTAATATCCCTCTATTTGAACAGATGTTGTAGACTTCGGTGTTCGGTGTAGACCTTACAAGGGACAATGTATAAATAGTGCCGCCAGATCTTCAAGGCATGAAAAATAGCTGCTAACTCAAGGTCGTGGATAGGATAGTTCTTCTCATGCACCTTCAGTTGTCTAGATGTGTAGGCAATCACTCTACCATCCTACATCAACACCGCGTCGAGACCGATATGCGACCCATCACAGTACACAGTATAAGACCCCAAACTCGAAGGCAACACCAACATTGGGGCTGTAGTCAAAGCTGTCTTGAGCTTTTGAAAGCGCTCCTCACACTCCTCAGTCCAACTAAACGGAGCACCCTTCTGGGTCAATCTGGTCATAGGTGCTGCAATAGACGAGAAACCCTCTACAAATCGACGGTAATACCCCGCCAACCAAGAAAACTCTAGATCTTCGTAACTGAAGACGGTCTGGGCCAAAT